CAGAGCTGACCCCCTGGCATCCCTGCCAGCCCAGAGGTATCCACCCTGGCTCAAACTGCTGTGGTCCTGGAAACGCATGTAAATGCTGCAGCCGAGAGCAGTCTTCTGTGATGCAAACTGAGCCAGAGTTGATCCTGTTGTCTTACTGGAACATACAGATGCACCCAGTGAGTGTGTGATCAATCTACCAAATCCTTTTCCATAGTGCTGCCATCCAACCAGGTGTCACCCGTCTTATATTTGTGTTTTTGATTATTCCTCCCAAGGTGTAGCACCTTGAATTTGTCCACATGGAACTTCATCCTGTTAGCTCTAGCCCAACTTTCCAATCTGTCAAGATCCTTCTGAATTGCACTTGCATCCTCCAATGGGTTCACAATCCTTCCCAGTTCCGTGTCGTCTCCAAATGACATACAGTATCATGTTGATGTTGGAGTGAGATGGAAACCTAAATCAGACTGAGTCAGATGGAAACTTTGAGTGAGGGGAGGGTGCACATGGAAGCGCTTACATCTGGGTAGCAAGATACACACAAAGAATGGATGAACCAAGAACACGTGGACCAAATAGAATTAATACCATCTAAAGAGTCCACCCATGAGAAAACCAATCCCCTTACCTGATTAGGCCAGCCTTGGGATGGAGCAAGCTTGTTCTAGGTCAAGAAGCCAAATCTCTAAGTTCCTCTTCAGATCTGGGCTAAACAGTAGGCTTACTTATAGTTCTATGATTATGATTCACAGAACCTATGATCCTATGGACATATCTCATAGTATCCAAACATGAATAAAAACAATGTACTTACTCCTATATATCCTGCTTATCAGAAAAAACAATGGCAAAGGTCCCCAAGCTCCCTAAGATTGGGTCCAAGATACTTCCAGCCCAGAGACAGCTCGGTAAATTGTTCTCCAACATATAATTAGCTTCTGGGCTCCACAGGTGGGAAAAAATAGGCAAAAAGGCTGAGATTATTTAGGCGTGTAAATTTCATTAAAATATTTTGATTTGAAATACCTCTATTCTAATTAGGCAGCACTAAAAATCAACATGTTAACACAAAGCACAAGGCTGGGAAGAGTCTGACCCCTACTGCTTTGTCACTAAGCAGGAGAAACAAATAGTCAATAATGTTTCTCAGGTATAAAATCAATTTAAATTGCATCCGCAATGCCTCAATATTAAAATGGAAATGTGTTTTTTTTAATTTAAGCCTTTATAAATCTCTATCTTTGACCTCGATGGTTCACCAGAAAATAATGTTTATTTCCCAATTTTAATATTCTCTCCTAGTATCATTTGTATAGTTTTCCGCAGTTATTTATCATTGTGTCTGAAACCCTCCAGAAACTAGTTGAGTGATTTTATCATTATCCTCAAATAAGTTACATTCTGGATATTTCAAGCAGATTTAGTAAGCGGAGAAAGGAACAGGAAAGAAATCATGGTTTCATTCTTGAAGATGAAACCTTTAAGGAATAAGGATTCTGAACAGTATAAAAGTATGCACTGATTAAATAAGTGAGAAGAAACTGAAAAACACACTTACTACGTTCACCACCTTGTTCCAAATGTCACGGTACCAGTATTCAAGGATTATATTAAAATGTATGTGTTTCAAACAAATGCACCCACACACCTGCAAAATGGTTGATTAGTGTTGGACTATATTGCAGGGAAATTCAATGCACTCTTCACCACTGACACCATCAAACAAATACAAAACAACAAAAATGTACAAAACTCCAGAGTTCAGAGATAATATGAAATTTAAGAGCCTAAATTTGTACACCTTTTTGTAGCAACCCTGCCACTGACTTTTACACTGAATAGGTGCCCTGCATTCGACAAGATCAACTATTCTCATATCTGAATGACTCAAACATTTCAGAATAACCAACCGGTTTTAAAAAGGGGGAAAAAAGGATCCAAACTTGATTCAGTTGTGATAAGGATAATAATACAAAGAGGTTGAGATGATTTGTAAGACTGTGTTGTTGGGAAAGAAAAGAGAAAAGAATAGTTCTTTTTATAGAGTCAAGGGTAACTCATTGGATAGCTCAGATGAATTCAGCAGATTTGTTGCAACAGATAGAGTAGGGACAAAGCATTCATCATGTAAGGATAATGAGAAAGCAGAAAGCTAAAGGCCTGCTAAAGCACAGCAGTTCTCATAATGGATCAGAGCTGTAGTCATTTTGGTTCAGAATCATAGAAAAATGAAGTAAGAAGAGACCCCACAAATTTTTCTAGAGCGGGGCAGGCAATAATTTTGGCTGGAGGGCTGCTTAACAAGTTTTGGTGATCTGCTGAGGGCCCCAGGGGTAGCCCCACCCCTTGACAGGTGTCCCACCCCCTGGTTGCCATATTGGGACTGCCCTCTAACCCCTGACTTTTGCTACCAGAAGTCCCTCCCCTTACCCCCATCCCGAAAATAATCCTTTCGGAAGGGGAGGATTGCCATCTTGGAACCAGAAAACAAACAAATTAAACACTAAAAGTCAAAGACCTACTATAACATTTTATTACAAAAAAATTGTGCCATGATTTTTGTCTCCATATTGTATATAGAAGGGACTGCATAACATCTCAAAAATAAAGTCTTACTCTTGTATACTGTGTGTTGGGGGTGTGGTTCTGGTTGGGGGTGTATGTGAGGGGGCTGTGGGCTATGGGGGTATGTGAGGGGGTGGGCTGGCACCTGGCAGTGCATAGCTACACACCATGATGGGGAATAAGTGGGAGGTGTGGGGACCCCTGAGCTCCACACTCTCACCAGCCCCCTGGATGCGGGCTCTGCACTGCCACCAGCTCAAGTCCAATGCTCCATGCTCCCACCCAGCTGCAGTTCCCCCCTGCCCCTACCATTGCATCCCCACCTGCTGCCCAGGGCAAGGGGGGCACTGGGGAAGTCAAGCAGGTCCCCCCCAGCTGCTGGCTGGGCCAGTCTATTCCACCCATGAGGATGGGAGCGAGGAACAATAGGATATGTTGGGCGGGGGGAGGTATGTGAGGGCCTTACTCTCACCCTCATGGGCAGAAGGGCTGGGCAGGGTAGAATTCGTTGGTGGATGCCCATGAGCCACATGAAAGTGCCTGGCAGACCAAATTCAGCCCGCAGGGTGTATTTTACCCACCCCTATTCTAGACCAATCCCTGTTCAAAACAGGATCATGCCAATTGGAGGCACTTCAGAGAAATATTTTTCTAATCTACACCTGCAAAATTTCCAGGGATGCAGATTGCACACCTTCTCTGGATAGTGTGTTCTAGTCCTTAACCATGCTCAGTCAGAAAGTTTTTCCTACTAACCAACCTAAATCTCATGTCATGGTTTTAAGATCTCTAATAATTTTGGTGCTCTCTTCTTTCTTGAAGTGAGGGCCCAAAACTAGCTACAGTACTTCACCACCAGTGCTGTGATTTGCATGCAACACTCTGCTTTTTACCCATGTGTTTGGGTTTTTTACAACATCACCTTGTTGACTCACATTCTACTATTATACCCTCTAGATCCTTCTTTATGGTACTGAAACCTAGCCATTCATTCCTCATTTGCATACTTCTACTTAATTATTCCTTCCTATGTACGGTATTTTGCACTTGTCTTCAATGAATTTAATCCTTTTTATTCCTGACCCCATTTCCAATTTATCAAGATCCCCTTGAATCTTATATCTGTTGTTTAAAGGTGTCCATTCCGCTGCCAAGTTTGCGGTCATCCACAAACTTAGTAAAGGTACACTAAATTATTGACAAAGCCCATTACCTGGTCATGGAAGAAAATTCGGCTGGTTTAGTATGATTTTCTCTTGACAAATATTGTGTTACTCATCACCTTGTTATCCTCTAAGTAGTTGCATACGGGTTGCTTAATCACATTCGCCAGCATTTTTCTAGGTATCAAAGTTAGATTGACACTTCTTGTAGTTCCCCGGGTTTTCCTTCCCTTCTACCCCTCCCTTCCCCCCTACTTTTTTTTTTTTTTTTTTAAGATAAGCACTATATTTACCCTTTCCTAGTCATCTGTCTTGGATCTTACATGACCCTCATGAGTTTTCAGAGATAATAGCTAATAGCAATTACTTCAGGCAATTCCTTGAGTACTCAAGAATGAATGAATGAATCTCATCAGGCTCTTTTGATTTGGAAACGTATAGCTTTCCTCAGTAATCTTTAAGCCACTGGTTCTCAACCTCTTTTAGACTTGATGCACCATTTTGTAAATTTTCAGAATTTAACTGTACCCCACGTAAAAATTAAAGTAAATATATTATAATAGAAACATTATAATTATATAATTTATCAATGTGTTATTAATTAACCCTACCTTGCCCTACTTCTTTCCCAGTCTTCACCTAAGGAGGCAGAGAGTGATAGAAGTTAAGGGATGGAGGAGATCTCATAAGATCATCAGGTCCAGCCCACACACTCTAAGGCAGGAACGACTGCTGAGGTCAGATGACCCCAGTGAGGTGTGCGTCCAATCATCTTTTGAAGATCTCCAGGGAAGGTGACTATACCACGTCTGGGGGGAGTCTGTTCCAGACTCTGGAGACAGGAACCGTAAAGAAGCTTTCCCTTACATCTAATATGAAGCGATCTTCTATCAGTTTAGGACCATTATTCCTAGTCTTCCCCTGAGGTACCTTGGTGAACAGATTTCTATTAGCCCCTGATGTTCACCCCTTATATATTTAAAGGCTGCCACCAAGCCCCCCCTAAGTCTTCCCTTTTCCAGGATGAACAGTCCCATGTACTTCAGCCTCTCCTTGTATGGTCTGTTCTCCAGACCATAGTTTCTCAACCTGTGGTACATGTACCCCTGGGGGTATGCAAGACACAGGAAGGGGATATGAAGGTACCTCAACACTCTCTTTCTCACCCTCTTTTCCTCTCTCTCTCGCCTCTTCCTCCTCTCAAAACTATGGCAAAAAATTTAAATTCCCCAGTAATAATTTGGTGTTCAGCACTCCTAGCTTGGCCAACATCACCTCTAGCCCAGGTACATACTTAGGTTGTGCACCCCGGTGTAAAAGGTGGCAACCCTACCTACACCAGATCAGACATCTGTCATATCACGGCCTTATATACATAGCCCTTCCAGCATATGGCACACATTAGTCTGTAAATATAAAATCCCCTGGAAAATTGAGTGTTGGGGTACTTATTAACATTTTCGGAAGTTAGGGTGTACTTGCTACTTAAAAGGTTGAGAAACACTGCTCCAGACCTTTAATCATTTGTGTATCCCGCCTTTGGCTCTTTCCAGCTTCTCTACATACTTCTTGAAGTGCGGCACCCAGAACTGGACACAGTACTCCAGCTGTGGCCTCACCAATGCTGAGCAGAATGGGAGGATGACATCCTTAGTTTTCCTTGTGATGAATGGATTGATGCATGCCCCAGTGTCGTTTGCTTTGCCAGCTATAGCATCGCATTGGTGGCTTACGGGGCAAGAATAGCCACCGCCACCACAGCTGCTTCTCCAAGGACTCGCATGCTGGGGACCAGAGTCAACTGCCCACAGGCGCCTCACATTAGCCCGGGTAGTGTGTGATGAGCTGGGGTATAAGTCTTGCTGAAAAGGGTGGTTCTGCATTCACACATCTGCCCGCCTGCGCATCTGCCCACAAACTGCAGAGCATACAGAGGGTTGATGAGGCATGGGAGGAGGTAGCCACATTACTCCTTGTCTGTGTGACTCAGGTGGGTAGGGATGAGCATCCCACTTTCCTCTTTACATAGGGAGCAGGCACTACAACACTTGTACCAGAATCTCACAGCACCTTGGTTGAGAATCCCTGCTCTATTGCATTAATGGAATTACACTTTTCTTTATCTTCTAGCATATTTATACTTCACTTTATTGTTATCTTTTATGTACCCTTATTACCTTTCAGTTACCCTTACTAGCTGTATCTTAGTTTGTGCCTTGGCCTTCTGGATTTTGTCCTTAAATGTTCATAGTGTGCCTTTATACTTATCCTTAGCAATATGGCCAGATTTTCACTTTTGTGCGATTCTATTTTAAGTTTCAAGTAATTGAAGCACTGATGACTTAGCCAAGCAGATCTCTTGCTATGCTTCCTATCCTTTCTCCACGCTGAGATAACCTGTTCTCAAAATCGAATATTGTCTCTTTAAGCAACAACTGCTTTTTCCCTTAGATCTGTCTCCCCCGGGATCCTGTTTCTCATAGAAGACAGCACCATTTAATCCAGAGGGAAGTGCAACCAGGCACATGTGAGGTAATATAAGCCAAGGAAGTCTTACCCTAACTCCCAATAGGCAGAGATTGATTGAAAATCTCAAATATGAAGTTTTACTTCCATTCCAATATAATTTTTTAGAAGTAACTATTATAATTCTGGATGTTCTTGCTGTCCAAATAAGTGTCCAATTCCAGGGACAGGACAAGTTAACTCTGAGGGTCAACAGGACACAAAAGAATATGAGAGACAACTGAACAGAGATGGAAATATTGAGAGTGGAGAGGCTCACCCTAGTAAAAGATGGTTTGGGACCTGCACTCTGTTCAGCATGGATCCCAGAGCAGCCCAAACACATTCAGTCTGGCCAGAGCAGCTGGACTCTGCTACATGCAGCTCCAGGACAGCACCACGTGTGGCCCCTGCTCCAGCCAGTCTGGAACCGGAGCTGCATGTGGTGCCTGCAAGCACCGTGTGGCATTTGGGGCCTGGATTACAGGAGCTGGCATCAGATCTGCTGGGAGAAGGGGAGGGAACTGTGATATAACCCACAGATCAGCCCTGTGCATGCTGTGCCCCATACGGATCAGATCAGACCCAGAGGTAGCACAGGGGGCTGGGTCAGTGCCAGATTTAGGCTTAAACTACTTAAGTCACCTCACAATATGAGGGGCCTCTAAATAAGAAAAAAAACTGACTCAAAATCAAGTTTTATAATAATTAGTTGGTAAATAAAGGAGATTAAAGAGATATAGAAAAATGACTCTCTAAATATGGACATTTTCATTCTAATATGACAAAATATACATACATTGGATTATTTTTATCATATGGGGCCTCTTAAAATGGGCATAGTTTAGGGCCACAGCATGTTATAATCTGGTACTGGGCTGGGTAGTGGGATTGCATGGGCTGAATGTTTGACACCCCTGTATTAAATGGAGGTATTGAGCTGAAAATAAAAGAATAGCATTGATTACCTGAATATTACTAAAACATTCTAGTTTGCTACAGAAAAAAACCTATCTCTTCTCTCATCCTTCAGTTCACCCAGATATTTGTTGCTTCTTGTCTTTATCTGCTCTCCAAGTGAAACAGAGGAAGCAGAAGGAAAAATCTTATTCTCTGCCTCCTTGATTGTGTTCTGTTAACAATAGGATTGTTTATCTTGACATTATAAGCCACTTCAACAAAAAAATTTTAAGAAGCCCACTTAACTCTAGCAGGAGTTTTCAGCCTTTTTGGTTGGTGTACCCCCAGCGGCCAGCCCAGAAGCAGGGAGTCCCCCAATTGATTGACAAGTATTGGGGGAATCCCCCCGCATGCAGCAGAGAAACCAGAAGCACCAACTGCAAAACTAGAAGTGCTCCCTGCTTCTCTGTGCCGCTGCCATGTACCCACTGGGGCCTTCCCAAGTACCCCCAGGGGTATGCATACCCCTACTTGACAACCCCTGAATTAGAGCAAAAGACTCCATACCATGATATTCATCAGGAGAAACAAGTATAAAATCAGAGTTTACTTTCCTAAAATGGGCATAGAGTTTGCTGACTTCAATCAGTGAAAATTTTCACTTTTCTTGATCATTTCTAAATCATAATCGGTTTACAGATCACAGAACAAAAATATAATATAGGCTTATACAGTGAAAAGTATCACAGCATGCTTTGGTGGCCATCTCTTTTATTATAAGCAATGCTATATGCTGTATCTGCTTGCAAAAGCATGAATAAATTGAAGAACACTGAAGAAGAAAAAAGAACAATTCATCTAAAATTAGCAGAGTTAGTTGTTTTACGAGAAATAGGTAATAATAGGGTTTTTCCAGAACTTCGTTTTAGTTATAATACTGGCCCTGATTCTTCCCATCCTTGAAAATTGCTGCTACCTAGCAAAACTTCATTTAAAAAAAACCCCTAAGCACCTTTCCAGCCAAATTCCAAAGAAAACATACTGTCAACTGAACATACTAAAATTGATTGTGTTGCAAGATAATGTAGGACGCTGTCAACCATCATATATCTTCCACTGTAAGATTACTAGAGATGATAAGATAAGCAAGCATTAAGTGGATCAATACTTGTATGAGAGAAATCCTGGGAAAATCCAGGGGTTATAGGCTTGAAGCTTTATTGAGGTATACTTTAAATAGATTCTGTGTTTTGCCCCTGACATTGTCATACAGCTGTGGAGAAACAAAGTGATTCCAATGGAGATTATGCATGTTGTGTATAAATCACTTAATCATGTCTATAAAACATATATGGATCCTAAGATTCCATATAATAAAGTGATGGAAACCATCAAAGGAGGGCTAAGCAAGGCACATACCCTTGGGTGTTCCTGAAAAAAATGCTAAAGAGTTTGGTTAGCCAAAGGAAGCCAATTCCTTAAAATGGAAGTTGTGTACAGCAGTGTAACTACGGGTGGGTTGGTGAGAGGCGTACGGTACCCACGACAGGCACCATGTTAGGAGGGGTAACAAAATCGCCACCCCACCCCCATGGAGTCCACACCCTGGCAGCATTGCCATGCTGGGAATTCCAAAATAGTTCCTGG